TCCTGGAGTTCTAGTGGGAAGCCGTTACCAGTGGAGTACAACCAGGTCTGTTGTGAGATATCAGCTCACTGAAGACAATGGTATATGGTGGCCAACTTCGTGGATTGGTTGAAGTTAGACATTAACACCGTTGGATGCCGGCTCAGTGGTCTAATGGTTAAGTGCTCGCGCGCGAAGCCAGTAGGTCCTGGGTTCGAGCCCCGTGTGGTGCGGGATCGTGGATGCTCACTGCTGATGTGTCCCATACTAGGACGAAACGGCCGTCCAGTGCTTCCAGGTTTTCAATGGTGGTCTCGTTTCAACTGACTCATGATTTCAATCTGTGAAAATTTCTAAAAATCTCCACAAACCCCTTCTGATTTCCAATATGTGACACAAAATTCATCTATGAATAAAGACGTTCACTTGGTTAGTTTCCTGTGAAATTGTTGGAGCACATATTCTTTCAATGCGCCGATGAGCAGTAACAGATCTACTAAACACACCTTCATTATGTTGGAGGATCGGTTTTGTTTGCGCGACTGAAATCAGTGTTGTTAGACTTGTCTGCGTCGTCTATTACAGTAGCGACTTCAAAAACGACTGGCGTTCATATCTTTGGCGAGGGTAAAATATGATCGATACATCCTCAACCAGGAAGAAAAGCAGCCCGTGTTTTTGAGATTCAGTCTTTCCCGTGTTTTGAAAAACCTGATGGAAGGCAGTACTTTGGATGCAGTCGAAAGTAAACCTATCCCTTAGTAGTTGTTGTTGCTTAGGCGAAGTAAATAATTCCTCAAGACAGAGAATCTATTGCATCATTCCAGGATGTTGGAACTCTCTTCAATTTTTTGAACTTTTGAAACAGTTTGCAACCAGTCTGAAATAAAGCTCAGTTTTCTCGCTTACAACAACTCATTTGTTTAACCAAATACCTGCGCTAGATGCTGTTCAAATATCCATTTTACAGGACTTCAGCACAGCGGGGATCACGAACACGTGATTGGCCTGAATAGAGCGTGAGTGTATTTTCATATCAACAACTGACAACTTTTAAAATAACAATAAGGATTGGGAAATGTATAACATAACTAATGCCTATCAGACTATCCACTAGTCTGATTAGGTAAACAATTGATCATTATTTACCTCATCCACACTTCGCAGTTCTGTAAACAGTAGTTCATCTATATCTTTAAAAAGGATCGGTGATAAGTCGCCTAGGCCTAAAATCTATTGCGCTTCTGGAGCTGGAGTTCCCTGCAAACTTGCGACTCGTTAGACTAATCAACCATCACCATCCATGGATGGCGGAACATCCGGGTCGATGTTGCTTGGATAGTGGGCCAGATTAACAGATCCCTGAAGAACTCTTTTAATATTCAGAACGCTAGTATGTTTTATTGATTAGTGTTCTATCACTACAGATTGTTTCACTAATATCAGGCTGCTAGCTACCATTGACTCGAATGAGTCGAAAGAGCTCCCGGCAGTTATAAAATTCACCTGCTACTTCCGGTATATTAGCGTGGTTTTACCACGAGGCTTCTCAGTCCCTACACATACCTTGCTTAATTTCATTACCTAGGTATCTACGTCTATCATCTAACTCACTGTCAACCGTAATGGACCGATGTGCCTTACGAAGTTGTAGGGAGCTTGTAGAAACACTGCCTATGGGCGGGACGTCTCGCGAAGCTATGGTCGACTTTGCCCGCTATATCTATAACGTCGTGTAAGTGCGGCCAGTGCTCATTCATGATTTTAAGTGGGTTTATAGCCAGCGTTAAATTCGTCTTGGTTTCAATACTTCGTCGCATCAAATGCTTCTACCGACTTGCTTACATCGATCCACCTAGGGAGATGAATCTGTTGGGGGCTGGAACGTAAGATGAGATTAGCGCAGACAAGTGCATGGTTAGAGTCCAGATAACCACTTCAAAGGAAGCAGAAGTCTTGTGGAAAAATATACCAGCTGTAGCAGATCGCTATTTGGTCAATATGAATCCGACTTGAGTTTTAGAGGGAGACCTCCAGATAACATATCGGAGATCGCTGCGTTGAAAGTTGTTGTTGATCAGAAACAGGTCGTGATCTGTGCGAAGCCGGAGGAGTTGGTCACTGCTTTCTGATTTGAAATCAAGGATTTCCTTCCGGCCATCCAAATGATTTTCTGGATGAAACTACAATGCTTGTTGAAAAAAAAGTATCGTTTCTCCCCTCGATTTATCACTTTGATGAGGCTATCTAATCTGACAGCATATAATCGACTGTTAATAGAGGTACAGTCTATTAGTGCTGCCTCAGCTTTTGCGCTTAATGTGACATTAACTCCAGCAAAACAAGACGAAGATGCTAAAGAGTTCACGGATTAGTGCATATTAGATAATCTGTGCAAATTGAAAAATACAGAGTGAATATGTTATACTTTACTAGAGTCTTGAGAATAGGTCTAGGATAGGCAACAGACATCGGTGTTCAGATTTTCTAAAGACACAACCAACCATATCTGTTATTCAATCTGCATTAGGATGCGAACGTTGAAGGAAGTCAGTTTGAATGGTGTGAGTGGTTTCAGAAAGACTTTTCAGTATTCATAGTCGGTGGTAGCATTCAACTTTTGACCAGTTACTAACTTCGGGCCGTTTAGAAAGACAGAACTTCCACCACTGACGAGTTTCTGTATGAAATGTGGAACAAAATACAGAAAATGGGGATAAGAGGAAATTAACACGTGGCGCAATGTGGAGCGAAAATGAATTTTGCCAAGCATTCGTGAATATGATTCGCGAGAATGTGAATCAATGCGGAAATGTTTTCAGTGGTATAAAACACTAAATTCATGTTTGGGCTAGAATGATGCATTTTTTATAGGCTGAAGCTTGTAGTTTTCTTAAGTGGCCACTACCCAAGCCTTTGTCACAAATATATAATCTACAAGACAATTGGCCACTGTTAGAAGATGCGGTCCGATGTTGGTCGATGATCAAGAATAGGTTTATACTCAATTTAATCTCTCAGGATCCTGGAGCTCATATGCATCGTCGGTTTGGAATCGAATTTTCCTAACTCTCTGGGTGGGTCCTCTGTACCCTGAATACCTAAAGTGTTCAACATACATAACTTCCAATTTTAAGCTATTTGTTAGTACAAACCGATCTTGAAAGTTCGTACTGTATTTTGGAGTTATGAGAAATGTAGATCATCCTTGGTTACCGTGGTGTTTGTATGAACTAATGATTCTTTTGCACTTGATGTGTGCCTAATTTTGAATTCTAAATACAATACGTTAATTCGTAATAATCTAGATCCGCTTGACTTAAATTGCGTTATTTCGGGGATTCCTAATTCGTATAATAATTAGAACATTTTTAAATATCACAGTTACCTCATGTTAATTATCATTTCAAGTTTAAATGACATCTCAACCAACTGGAGTAAAGCTGTGAGTCTTTTAAACTTTTCTAAACGTCTTACACCTAATGTTTCAACCAACTGGTTTGAAAAGCTACTAATAACACATCTCCTCTAATACTGATTCTCTGACTAACCATCATCTTTCGGTCCCGTCCCTTTAATATATCCAACCAATTGCTGTCTATTATATGACATTCAAGCCTTTTCTATCTCTTGCTTTCACTACATGTAGAGGGGATGATCTTTTCGAAGACAAATACGTAATCCTCAGCATACAAGTTTCGGCCGCCTGAAATAGAAATCACATAATTTCAATAATAGTTATTAAAAATCTCCTATGTAAGAAAAGTCACACAGTAACTTAACACAGACACCATTGTATTTGATCAATGAGGTCCCAGTTTATTTTAATCGTATGAAATACTGTTTCATGCAGCTTAATTTGAGTCATTGGTTTGTTCCTTTTGTAACTGAGGATTTGGTTAGGTTTAGTAGGGTTCCCAGTCTTGAGCTTCTCTATCTTGATTTTGGTGATCAACACCTCCAAGAAAAAATAGTTCGTTACTTGATCCCATTCACAAAGAGAAATTTATGTTATCGATGTTATTGTAAGTGCTTGCAGCCTATCCGTTTTCCTGACGAATGTGTTGTCTATAGAGTATGCCGAAATTCTAGGCCTGTTTACTGACAGGATCGATGTTACCAGTTTCCACATTACCGTTTCTGTAATTAATCCAGATATTAGTGACCCAACTAGTGTTTTTTGACTGTTTGTGTATTTCGTAGTTGAATTGGAAATATATTGTAAGATATCAGTCGATGAGTTTTATTAGAATTTGTCTTTAAAGACTAACGTGTCTTATTCATCGCCAGTGATACAAATCATTTAGTATATATATATCTGCTTATGACAACTGATTAATAATTTTCATGATCACTGTACTTGTTTGCCTAGACAAATCTTTTGAAAAAAGACAAAATGTAATTTAAAGTAACTGATAGTCATTTAACAGTCTACATTTGTGATTGTTTAGATTAATAATCCACTAAGTTGTGTATTTCCGACCTTGAACCCTTACTGATGAACAGCTGACTTCTCTACTGAGAAATCGGATACATATTCCAGTGTAAAACTTCGAATTGCTTATAAGTAGAAATATCTTCCATCCTTTTATTCACTTGATCGATCAAATAGTCGGTGGTTTCTAAAATACATTCCTCTAGAAATGCTTGTGTTCAGTTAACTAAATATCTACCAATATTTGAAAAAAGTGTAACATTATATATTTCTAATAAATCTATTTACGAGTAATATAAAATTTTCCTGAGTTTAATAATTAATTAAGAAGAAATATGGAGTTTTATTTATTAAGAATGAGGTAGACCTTTCTTTTGATTGACTAATGAAAGTACTGTACAGCAGCTCACGGTGTCTTAAAGTAATTTCATTTGTTTATTTATATATGTAATATTATTTGGGAGAAAATATGTACACATTTCATGTTAAAATTCCAAATGTGTACCCTTTTATTTCTTGAGAGTAAGCGTATTTACTCGGTATAAAGATGAATACTGCTGCAGGATGTTCCGCGGATTGGGATCATTTAAATGTATTCTCCATGTCTCGTATAAGGTATGTCAGATGAAGAAAATGAACGATTCATATTATTGGTTGTATTCTCTCTTGTTAGGAAAGATAAATTCAGTGGATTGGATTCACTATGAGATATCGTATATCTTTCATTCAATGATGGTAAAGTATAAATTTTAGCATCAAATTTCTTTTCAAAATCTCTGACACGTTTATCACACTTAGTATCGTTATTAGCTGTGCTACACAGACTGCCATTTAATGACTGAATTTTGTCGTTGTTTAATAAATCTGTGTGTTTTTCCGGTCGTGTTTTTGAATGAAAATGACATGTTTTACGTTTATGTTCTGTGTGCATAAAATGTTCGTTGAAACATTTCCTCGAACGCTTGCTAGTATGAGTAAAACTTACATCAGTTGTAGCAGGAGAATCAGAGTCAATAATTTGTGCTTGACTATCAAAATGTTTTGAATGTTTCTTGTTGCGGTACCCACAGTGTTTGACCGTATACATACCGCTTGATTCTGACACACTACCATCAGAATATACACTAAGAATATAATGTCTGTTCCTGTCGTTTTTGGTGTAGTGATCTAGAGTGAGATGGTTGTTGACCATACCTAGATGCTCTTTATGTTTTCTTCTATAAAGCTTCCGGTTATCAACACGCTTTGTTCCACGTTTCTTATTGGAATTAGTGATCATCTTAGTATTTTGCTCTTTTCCTACAGTTTTCTTCAGTAATAACCTAAAACAAAAGAAAATATTTCAATAAGATTTTCAATTCTAAAATAAGGTACAATAACTATACTTAAGGTGTATTCAGATTGTTCTAACTGCTGAAGACAAGTGAAATTTGCATATTTCACAATTGACGATGAGCCCAATTTAAGATTTAGTTTAACTCAGCAACGATGTATATACTTGTGAACTTGTCTTTTGGCAATGTTTCAGTATATAAGTACTTGTTTTGAGACTCAGTGGCCCGAAAAATTACTCTGATTTAAATTAAAGATTACGATTCACCAGTCTAAATTATAGTCATTTAATCAATAAGTCACTGATTCATGTTTTGAATTAAAACGTTTCTCTAATTACTTGTACAAATTTATTTTAGCTCTTTCTTTGAAGTTGATTAAAAAATAAGAACTCAGTTTTATAAATTTCTTGCTTGTGATGAATCTCTTTACATTTCCCATCAGAATAACACAAGACAGCACTCTCAATTGGGTAAAGGAATTATTTTACAAGTCCTTAGTAAAATATTTCTCAAATGCTAGGATATTAAGAACGAATAAAGTCAAGTATATATTATTTCGGTTCTTATGAATATTCTTTTCATGTCATGGGGCTTGCTATTCAGTTTACAATGAAAACGGATGCCAGTGGAAAAATAAGTGAAAATGATGAAAGATTAAACTGTTTTGTTTCAGTTTACCACCTCCCTTTGATAAACATTCTTTATCCAATAGAAAACTGAATTTAAAACTGTTGTCTGATAACTATCTATAGTCTATTTCTCACCAACACTTTATGCGAAACTAGTCCAAGAAGAAGCTACTGACAAATTAGTGATTCCAAAAAAACTAGTGAATTACATCATTGATAGTCCCAAACTGTAACAAACCAACGGTGTCAAGGCCTTATGGCTTTTAATAATTCTTCAGGTATTATAGTTTGAGGTGTAAAGCCCAGATCGCTAACATAAGATGATATGTATGAGACTAAAACAACCATCCAAGTGCTATTCCTTTTTTCTATAATTACGAATCTCAGGATTAAAGTGTACTACTTTGTGTTCAGATGTAATGACTTCAAGCTAATAGCGATCAACGTAATTAATAAAATCAATTATTGATCAGTTGGCACTTTGATGTAATCAGGTTTCTTTGTGAACGCCAACCTAGTCTACTTCGAGTTAAAATGCTGAAATAAACAACATTTATCTACTTTATGTTGTGAGACTACTGGTTTTGGTGATGTGTGTGCTTCACCAATGAAAAAGTATCCAGTCTGAAAATCAGCATTTAATAAATATCCTTAGATTGCCTGTATTTGATATCAGTTGAAAAAAGCAAGGTGAAAGAAACCAGAAAGGCGATAGTCAACTATTCCACTTTATTTTCAAACACTCCAAATGTAAGATCGTGATCGTTCAACCAACTAGTTAAAATCTAATTAAGTTATTTCGAAATAATGTATCCCTAACAATACGAAGTCTATGAAAAAGAACTCAAGTTCGAGTCAATATATATAAATTTACATAAATCTTTATAGAATAACAGTTACAGTCCTGCTAACTTCAGTCTTCATTCACTCAATAAACGCGCTTAAAAAGTCTAAGTTTTATATACAAGAAAACATGACAAATCAGTAACACCAAGAACGTACTTTGAAGGAGATCTTACAACATATTCATCTGATTTTTCCAACTCTCCCAGGTGATATTTTATTTGTTTTGATGCAGTACATGAGTTAATCAGTCTATGATCCTTTGGATAAGGTGGTGGTGGTGGCGGTGCTGTTGTGGTAGAATATTGATGATGATAATGTAATGGATGCTGATGTAATGTTAAGAACGTTGTAGTCATAGAATGTGGTATATGTGTTTGGAACTCATTATTAATTGGCTGTAATAGCTCGGTTTCGTTGCCGAATGATGCAGATCTCCATAAATTATTATATGGTACAATATCGGCATTTAACATTTGTGTTTGGGAATTATTAATATTTGAGTATAGACTTGTATGAAATAGTGTTTGTGAACAATTAGTAAACATTTGGCCTACATTTGATTAAAAAAATTACAATTATCACCAGATTGTTAAATTAATTAATCAACTCTGTCATTTATGTTTTGTAACTTTGTTACTTAAAACTTGACTTTTTACTAACTTTAATCTGAATTTCTCTTACTCTTTATTTTAAGATCGAGTTATTCAGAGTCACCAAAAATTAACACGAACTGAAAATCTGTTGAGTTTCCGCTTCATCTAAAGACCCTCACAAATTCAGCCATTTACGGAATGAACAGTCCACAAATCTCTCCTAGTAATAATGTGTTCAGTAATGACTAATTTCAAGAAAGTTAGAAAATATCGCGAGCTGACTGTAGTTAGCAATATGGATCATTGTTTTCTTACTCACTGGTCTGAAGTTGACGTATTCACAATTTCCTGGATCTCATCTAGTGTGATGTCGGGTAAACGCACAACTTTAGAGTCATGATCTAAAATTAAGTGATCATTCAGTACTTTCACGTTTTAGTGATCCTACAGTTCACGTTGAAATTACATACTTATTTTATGATGTGAATACATTTGGTTTCCCAAATGATTTGATGTATTGATTATAACTTAGATGTAACTATGGGCATACGAAATCATCCATCTAACACGGTAAAATATGTAATGCACGTGATAACAACGTGATATTTTGTTTATTTATTTAACTGTTAATAATATATCTACTGTTTAAATAAACCGCTATAGATGATAGTTGGTTAAGAAATTTCATGACGGTCTCAAAACAGTTAAATTGTGATAAATAATATATTTTTACGAGTGAAATCCATCAAACTGATGAATCTGAAAGTGAATCACTAATGAGTAGGAAGAAGAACACATGGTTATTCCAAAAAAATTCATTGTCTACAATTTCAACTACAACTATGCATTTCTTGTCTAGATATTATCTCAATAACTATCGATAATGAAATTTAAGTTCAAGCTCTGCAAAGATTCAGGATGATCAATAAGAAAAGTGATCCATCAAATAAGTTTTGTGAATATACTGTGAAGTGATCATTAGATAACTATAAGTTTATAACATTCTCTTCAGCTAGATTTGAGATGAGGAACAAGTACCAACAGACTGGAAAGAAAGGCTTCTGATCAAAATACCAAAGAAAGGCGATCTCAGCAACTGTGACAACCACAGGGGCACCACTCTTCTCTCAGTACCAGGAAAAGTCTTTAACAGGGTATTGTTAAACAGGATGTAGGACTCCGTAGATGCCCAACTTCGAGACCAACATGCAGGATTCCGTAAGGATAGATCGTGTAAAGACCAAATCTCAACTCTACGGATAATTGTGGAACAATCAATTGAATGGAATTCATCACTCTACATCAACATCATTGACTACGAGAAAGCATTTGACGGCGTGAACAGGACAATACTATGGAAGCTTTTTCGACACTACAGCGTACTGAGAAGATAGTCAATAACATACGGAGATCTTATGATGGATTCGACTGCAAAATCATATGTGGAGAACAGCTGACGGACTCGTTCGAAGTAAAGACCAGTGTCAGGCAAAATTACTGACTCTCACCCTTTCTCTTTCTCCTGGTGATCGACCGGATCATAAAGATGTCAACATCTGTGGAGAAGCGTGGGATACAATGGACAGCTAGGATGCAGCTGGACGACCTAGACTTCGCAGATGATCTGGTTATTCGATCGCACACGCAATAAAAAATGCAGGAGAAGACGACCAATGTAGTAGCAGCCTCAGAAGCAATAGGTCACAACATACTTAAAAAGAAAAGCAAGATTCTCCGATACAACACAGTATGCATTAGTCGAATCACACTTGATAGAGAAGCTTTGGAGGATGTAAAAACCTTTACATATGTGGGTAGCGTCATTAATGAACACGACGGATCTAATGTAGATGTGAAGGCGCGGATCGATGAAGCAGGAGCAGCATATCTACAATTGAAGAATATGTGGATCTCAAAACAACTGTCAGCCATCACCAGGTCAGATTCTCAGTACAAATGTCAAGACAGTTCAACTGTATGGGGCGGAAACCTGGAGAACTACGAAAGCCATTATCCAGAAGATACAAGTGTTTAGTAACAGTTGTCTACGCAAAATACTTCGGATCCGTTGGCCAGACACTATCAGTAACAACCTACTATGGGAGAGAACAGACCAGATTCCAGCGATGAAAGAAATCAGGAAGAAGCGCTGGAAGTGGATAGGACACAGATTGAGGGAAGCATGCAACTGCGTCACGAGACAGGCCCTTGCATGAAATCCTCAAGGCCAATTCGGAAGAGGGAAACCAAAAAACACATTATGCCGAGAAATCGAGAGACATGAGAAAAATGAACAAGAATTGGATGGAACTAGAAAGGAAGTCCCAGGACAGAGTGGGTTGGAGAATGCTGGTCGGCGGCCTATGCTCCATTGGGAGTAACAGGTGTAAGTAAGTAAGTAAGTTTAATACACAACTATGGTGGATTGTTATGCACAGAACTTTGACAATCCATTCCTACGTGGTGCTGTTGATTGTTAGACTGACTTAAGCTTAAAAATCAAAACGTACTTGAGAAGTTTCACTCTCTGGACCAAGTGGTCGTTATCCTGATGTTTAGTAATTCTTATATTGACGTAGTTGAAATTTCTTAAAATTTCAACGATCTCTCGTAGTATCTCTACTTAGATAATCAATGATTTGATGATAAGATGTAATTATCATTATTTACCAAAGTAAACAAATAATTTTAAATAAAATGTGCTAACTAATGAAACCAACCCACTTTTATTCATTATTGGGTAGCATATTAACTGTTGAGAATTAGTTTGCCAATTTATTTGAATTTGTTGTTGTTGATTGATGAAAGGAACCGTTTCACAATATGATCCGAAACATTGAGGATTAATAGAATTCACACATGGTGCTTTGTAATACTGGTTTGAATTTTGTGATATATTGTTATTATTATTATTATCATTACTATTAGGTACATCAAAATGGACACTTTTTGTACTATTATTATTATTGTTGTTGCTATGGTAATTATAATCATTTGACTGAAGTGAGTTTCTACTAATTGATTGGGGGATCAGTGGTCTATTTTGTAAATAAAGGGAAGATTGATTGATATCTGAAGTACATTTTTCATTTTTATTTGATCCTGGGTAGGATTCAGCAAGCGTACTTAAAGTACCATCAGTTGCACTACGACCTATCATATATTTTCCTAATCCATTTTGTGTGAAACATTCTTTGTTCATGTCTGTTTTTTGCTCTTGTTTGTTAAGTTAGATTTAACATGATCTTGTGAAATACTATTTAATCCTTTCATTGTTTTAAACGATGACCAGTAAATGATTGACTTGTTGGGTATTTGTATTGTTCGTAATTTCTTACGATAACAATATTGGTAACATGAATATGCCAAGACAATAACAACAAAAGAGACTAGTATAATACATCCAATTATCAGTGTGTTAGCTGTTGAGCTGATTGGGAAAAAAGTGGTAAATTTGTTCTGTTGTCTATAGATGTGACAGAAAATAAAATAATATATGCCATGGTTTATTTATCAAGTAATTTAAAAGGAAAAATAAAATCTAGATGAAATAAGAAAAAGTCAAGTTTGAAAACACGTTCGTTTGTAACTAGCTATCGCTGAAAGAAGGTCTAGCATAGAAATAAAAGTTTTCTCTCTAAGGTTTACAATTTATTTAATACGGACAGTAGTTCCGAAAATAGAATCAAAACTGTATACATATTCTAATGAGCTCTGATTTAAAATCAGTTACTTCAGTAACTAATCAGAGTGTGAAGTATTAAAACTAGAGTACAACCGTTTCTCAGATAAATTCACTTTCAGAAAATCTCAGTATACAGACATTTTTATATTCGTACAATTGGAGTGAGATAATGTTGGCTTATTAGTCACAGTACTTCATTTTCAGCCAATAAATAGTAGATCTAAACACCATTCCACTCATTTCATCTTGACCAGCCAAGTATTATCATTGGCGTACGCATTTAAAAAATCCCGTCTCATTATTAAGTACACGAATACAAACTTGTTAATTAAGTTAAAACTTAAAGATGTTCAAAAACACAGAATATTTGACTAAACGATTGCTTTCATTAACTTTTTGATCGGACCCTGCAGTTATAAGTCCATAATTATTGCGTTATTTTAAATAAGCATAAAATAAGACATGCTAGTGAGCTAATGTTAAGTGTTAAAAATGGTAAATTAAAAATGCATATAATGTATAAAACTCTACGTTTATTTAACAATCACTGTATAAAAAAAATGAACTTAACATGCAAATACAAGGAGGTAGTCTCCCAAAATATACCGAGATTTTCAGGTTACTTTTACCAGAATTATATAAGATAACAAGATATTAGTTTATCACCAAGTGTATGAACATAAAAATTATGCAATTAAGTGCTACTTACTTATTAGTAAGATAATTAAAATACACAAATTTTACGATCTCTGTATGCTAAAATGGTGTGAGCCACTGTTCTGTCGGTTTTTATATCATATCTGTAACATCCTTTCCAAAAATGGTTTGTTTGGAGTTTTTGTTAGGGATGTTAGATCCCCAGAACTCACTTGGTAAATGCCTTAATTTAATTACTTTATTTTGGAAATTTAAATTTCCTTGTTTTCGCGCCGCAAGCGCACTTTTTACCTTCATGTCGTATTTCCCACTTGGGAGAATCTTTAACCCTATTTTTGCTACGCTTCCAAAGGACAGTTTTATGCTGTATATATACGTTTGATTTGTTTCTGTTATTATTCACTCGTGCCTCTGGCTCACGGAATATACTTTCCCTTTCCAAGCTTGGACTTCTTCCTCTAGTTAGCGGGGCTGGGACGTATCGGTCACAAGTCTTTGTTCCGTTCGCATGCTAAGTAAACTCGTAATAGCTTCAAACCTAGCAGTTTTATATACGTAGTTGTTAACTTTTGTTCCAATTACTCAGCTATGTAGAACATACTTCATATATGTAACAACGATCAAAAATCGGTTTACATTTGAGTTTGACTTAATGTTTCAGTAATAACTCTTGATTATTTACACCTGAAAAATCTTTTGTACATGTAAACCTCATCATATAGTTTTCGTGTATAGATAAATGGTTTTATGAAATAAACAGTCCGCCAATCTTATTTTTATTCTGTTATACTCGTTCACTGGAGATTATAAGCTTTGTCGGCTACCAATAAAGGGATACCGATGTACAGCAATAAAAGATTTATTTAAAAGCTAGGTGATTATTTCAATGTTAAAATGAACGACGAGTGATGACGTTAGATGCCTATATTCCGCTATGACAAATACCCATACAAGGAAATGTAGTTAATGAATTTCCCGTGAGAGTAAAAAGTTATTTTATTACAAGTTATCCTGAATCAACGTTTTTATGTAGGCTAATATGTGTGTAATTTAGGTTAGGAATGAATTTTAGATGATGAATGAATGTAAAGGAAGAAATGGTCGAACAATCCAAGTTGCTACACTCTGAAATTACAGAAAATTATAAAAGGTGAGATGAAATAAAACGATATTAAAGCAAAGTATAACTGTAATAATCATATGTCGTGAGGTAGCCATAATAATTGTGGCAAAACCTTAATACCATATACTACAGGTCTCTTCTCTTCTAGCCTTGCAGGCCTGAGGAGATGAGTCCTAAAAAGGAGATTTGTTGGGAGAGATTAAAGAAGAATAACTGATGTCCACGTCAATTCAATTATATATCGATTGAATCAAGCGGTTGATAATTATAAAATCTACCAGTGTCCAATCGTCACTCATGCACAAAACCACAGTAAATTTATAACCATAGTGATAAGTCCATTATTTAGTTGAAATTGAATAGTATTCTTTATTTTTACTATTTTGATTTTTCGGAACCTTTAACGACTTTTCAAAAAATTTTGCCGTTCTCCGCTTAAATCACCTTTTAACAACTGTGTTTGATTTAAAATAGTCTGGAATTCAATAAAATAGATTTCTGAACAACTGAAGCAGTCGGTAAGTTCTCATAAAAACGAAGCTCAGGGGTTCTTTGAATAGTATTTAATAATGATGCAAACTACTACAAAATTATCTATAGAATTATATTTTACAATTCGAATATCGTCGTTATTGGTGCAATGAAACATTCTATTAATCTACAACAATTGTTTAATTGTATTGTATATAAACATACAAAATGTCAAATTGGCCTTCAGATATAATCATAATACTTAATAAAACATGAGGAGAACATTCAGTTTTGCATGGTTGCCCATTTCTCGTAAACAAACAAACTGAATAACTTAGCATAAATTGACGTGTTTTCCTGTGACCTTATAAAGTTCTCTTTTAAGGTAGAAAAAATCAGTTTATTTGTATATCTTAAATGTATTACTAGTAGTTAGTCAACGAATTGTCAAAATGCCTACTGTAATAAATGATAATACACTAACATATGTTTTTTTTCCTGGATTTACGGAAAACAAAAACAAATTGAACAATCGTTGTAAAGATGATATACACTGGATGCATATAAGTGCAGTGGGGGGTGGGGGGAGAATAAATCACAAAGAATTACTGAATCTAAAAGCGAAAGCCTAAAATACATTAGGTTGTTTTCAATGTAGAATTAAGTATGGGAAATAAGTGAACGTGTGGAGGATTGTTAGAGAAAAATTCCCGTTTTTACTTACCCAACTTATAACCACTGATTTGAGTGGTTATAAGAAGAATATTTCACCAAAACTGTCACAAGAAAAATTTGCCCAATCAGAATGAATTCGATAGAAATACTGTATTCTCGTTAGACTACCATCATAATAACATAAATTAGTGTATCGATAGGAGTGATAAGGTTGAACAGTGGTGTGATGAAAAAGTATATACAAAAAATAGTTTGGATAGCACACATTAATCATGCATTCAGTCAATTTTTCATATTGTGATTTTACACACCAGATCATTTAGTATAATCTCAGGTATTCAGTTAAACAACAGTAACTTAAGTAAGAACAATTAATTATTACTTGTGGTAATTGTGAAATGAAGAAATAGATGATTGATGGAAAACGCAAAAGTGCTAACCAAAATACATTGGTGAGTAATAAATATATCTCTAAGAATATCTAGCTATGAGGATACAGAATTAGTAAAGGATGTGTATGTGTACTTGGATTTTAAAATGGTTATGGTATTCTTAATGGCATTAATTTTGACGAATCCCTGTCCAATCAAATTACATCGTTTATTTTGTTAGTTATTTATATGTTGAATTGCTACTATTAGTTTTATGTTACAGTCTTTTAAAATGCTCTCCGAGAAATTTGATTCAGTTAAATTTTAAGGATTTAGTAACACATATCTTGTAGTTTCAACATAGTTTATCACATCAGAGTAGGACATTCTCGTTCAACTTTAGGTTTTCGACTCATATGTCATAGCAATCGAATAACAAGACAACTGATTTTCTGAGTAAACAAATTGGAGGTTATGTTATTTGTTCAACTGCAACACGAAATTATATTAACTGATGGTCTAGCAAGAACCGACAAGGATAGTTACTAAAATCATGGTATGATTTAGTGTAAACCTTCTCAGTAATTCATATATCATACTACATATAAGATTAAAATCAGCACATCTGAGTCTTGCAACCAACGTAATACAAGTGAGCAATTTCATAGGAAAGAATGGTCAGCATTTTAAGCTTGAACTTTTAGCGAGTTATCTCTTACTAGAAAATTTGCCGAATTCACACATCACAGTCTTTTATTAGTGTGCTGAAAATTTCATTTCACATTTATTCACGAGTGGATTTTATCACTTATTGTAAATCATCTGACAACAAAACTCAGTACTTTTATATTAGGAAAAAGACAGATTTTTGGAGTTCTGTTTTGTATACTTTGAAATGAGTTCACTAATAACTGATAATTAGGTTTCGATAATTTCTCCAATTAATATACAAAATTTTCATTAAAAACCATATAAATAAGTTTGAGAAAAAAGGAAATTAAATGTAATCCGTGTATAAGGTACGGGTTTGTATACTTCTTTGTGAGTTACACTGTTTATATTATAGTTACTAATACTATCCGAGTACTCGAATGTAAGTAGGTGGGGTGTTGTTTGGATTTGTGACCTATTGGTCAGAAACAGTGCTCTAAACACTGAATTAACAACTGCTTTGTTCATCACTTGTGGTAACAGTGCTAGTGTCATTTATATGATAGCGTCATAACTATACAGTTTTATTTTACTTTATAAAATAAATATTCTGCAATTAATGTTGTACCATCATAAGATTTGAATGTAGTTTCGTACAAAAAGTAAATCTCTTATACAAATATTAGTTGAAAAATCTTTGCTACAATAAGTTACTCAGAATATAATAATTGGTAGCCGGGTTACTTTCAAAAATAAAGTATTACGATGATCTTATATACGTCATTCTTGACAAAGTGTTCATTGATTTTTTTATCGAACACAGACTAAAGCTTACGGTCCATAATTTTTGTGTATTTTTTCAACAACCCAATTAAACAACAATTAACAATCTGTTGGACTATGTTATCCACGTAAAATCAATTTCCGTATAACAATAAATATTACTTAATGTTCTCAGATATTTAACGAAAACCATCAAATATTTTATTTAAAGTAAATCATATTAGATGTAGGGTTTTATTGTACTATATCCTTTGCTTAATAACATTACTGAGTTCTTAAGCTATTAAACTGTAATCCCAAATAAGCATTATAACAATATAACTGAGTGACTGTATCTGCGTTAAATGATATATAAAGGATTTATGTTACCAAATGCATTACGTACGGGCAAACGTAAACTCCATGTTTTTGCACTTTTCTAACATTTGTAAATTTTTCTCTATCCTTAACTTTATTCAGTTTTTTTTAAAAACTCACCCTTTTCTCAGATAGACACTATTGTCCAGAATGATAATAGAAGGCATTGCTATTATATCATCCATATTAAGAAATGTGACATAATGAAAAGAATACTTTTGTTCTTATTAAATGAACAAATTTACACATAATGAATTCAGAGAATAAATTAAAAAGGCTTCTAATTATATGCATGAAGTTGTTTAGGTATAGTTTAATAATAAAAGCAGTTTAAAAACTTACTTTCCATTTGTGAGCTAGGAAATAAACTTTTGACTAATGCGTATTTATTATTATTGTTTATAAGTGGATCATTGTTTAATTTATATACTGTACAACCAACATTGTTTAAATCAGCAGGAGTAAGATAAGCACCAACTAATGCATGTAATAATTGACGAGGTAAATCTGATGGATTCATTCGTAAACTAGGTAACTCATCTCTTGCATTATGACAATGTACAATACTATCACATTGAAGTAATCTTGAAATACAATAACCATAATCTTTACGTTTGGATGATCGACGTTGTTTTAGTTTGACTGATTTAACTTTTGATAAATTATTTTGAACAATGTTTTGTAAAATGTGTTTAGTAGTTATTGGCTGAATATCAGTGGAATAGTTTTTTTTATCAGATGAGTTTAGTATATTGGTTATTAAACGTTTGTTTCTGTGCATATTTGATAACTGAGATGGTTCCACTGATATATGTCCACAAAAGAATTCATTATTTTCACAAACACCTGCAGATTTTGCTTGAAGAAAGGTTAGTTGAAACAAAGACAATTTATTATGATAAATATTTATATTGAATAATACTATATGACTAAATAAACTGAAATTTTCTAGAAAAATTACGCTCTTATCAAAAGTACTATTGATATCACTAGTTGGCAATGAATAGGAATTTAACTACGAGGTTATTGTTTACATTAGTCTCCAACTAAAACCTTAACGTTTTATATGTCAGTTAAGAAAAATTCAGGCAGAGAAATTATAGAACTCAGGAAACCATTCCCATGGAAATCAGTTTGTACATATATATCTTTATATGTACTCGTTAAACAATTAGCTTTTTTTAATTCTTCATACTTTAAGTTGTAAGATACTTGTTTATCTATGAAGTGTTACTGTCTTTTACTACGGTAAATTCACCAATCGGTGTATTGTTTAGGTCTATATCAAAGTCCTGCTGTTATGTACGTGATATAATGTATTATTTTCGGTGTGTTGTCGTTTGAGTTTCTAAACATATAAACACGCTAGTTGTCTTAAATATACAAGACAGCTGGCTCTTTTAGTGTTGTAGTAGGCTAGTTTGGAACGTGTAAACTATGCATGGAGCTATCAACTGTGGTAAATATCATCTTAAAGTTGATGGATTTGATGTTATTGGTATGGGCTCTAATTTATAATAATTTTGACTAATACGATACTTGGGTTTTCAACATCCTAGGCAGATCTTTAAGACATTATGCAGTAAAAAATGAACAAACGAACAGATTTTAAGTTTCATTTTTAGATTGCTAAAAATCGACCGTAAAATCTTTGGGTGTAAATCATTGAACACTGAACAGTAAGGTAATACACAATACACTATCCGTATATGCAGATACTTTCTGACTTTTCGATATTGATAATTAAAAATGGGAAACCAAAGATATGTTTCATGATGCTGAAGACAACACTGAATGTATCTATGCCACCTTCTTGGAGAAATAAAGCTCAGAATTCTCAGAAAATTAGCTTTAATTAAAAGTATAATAGACTTAATTTCCTTAGCACTCTAAACGCTTATCAAACAATGATTGTAAAGACAGGTTACTACTCTACTGTATAGTTGTGTTATTCTTAGTTGAGACAGTCAACCTTTTCAAAAGACTTTAATTTTAAAAAGTCTATACAATCTAAAAGTTACTGATCTTCTAGAAAACGTTTCTTGCAATATAGACTTATATTCTGAGTCTATACAATAGTTAATTTCATGAATATATATATATATATATATATATATATATATATATATATATATATATATATATATCAACTTAACTATTGCTATTCTGAGTTTCAATGTTTTCAAACATTTTATAAATAACTCCAACGTAAAAATCAAAACAGAAAGGAAATCACATTGTGAAAAATACTTGTTTCAACATTTTTCATTTTCATATCAGTTTCACTTGGTAAACTACTTTTAAAAGGAAGTTAGTTCTATTAACGGAAATGAAATACATACAAACAAGATGAAATTATGAGAACTGTAGATTAAAAAAATTATTTTTCATCAGAATATGAAAGAAATCATATGATTATTTATGCTTATTTTAAATTGAAAGCATTTTCTAATATCTCTGGAAGAAAGGGAAGCTCACAATGTAGATTATTTGGTTTCTTTTTTATTTTTGGTGGCCTAAATCTGTAACTTAGTTTTTCGGCGTCGTTTGACGTTTGATATAATAAAATACCTGTAGGATGCAAAAATACATATTTATGCATCGAAAAAGAACAAATAATTCTGATAGTTTAAATTAGTTGTATACTGGTGGCATTCAATTGACAAAGATAATAAATAACTAAATTAGAAGTCACTAAATTTAGATAATACTAAGTTTTTTCGCTCATAGTATGGTTGTTATTGCGTATTTCATTGAAACTGAAATTTTTATTATCCAGTAGCTCAAAGATAAATAGAAGATAAAAGTCCAGTCTTTACGAGATCTGCTAGTGTACTGTCCACTAGTTTGTTGAGTTACAATGGTGATTCTATTTTATAATTATTGTTCGAAGAATCTAACTGATTGTTTCGCCTCGGACCATAAGCTCATTTTTATTACTAAGAATTTTGCTCAAATATTTAATAAGTGAATTGTAAAAGGAGATAAAAATTACATCAACAACATTGCGTTATTTATATAGTCTGGCATTCGAAGTTGTTTCGAACCGTTTATCAATCAATCAGTCGATAACCAGTTGTAATTTAACTCCATATAAACTGGGACAACATGATCTGTCAAAGTGATTAACTGATCAAAATGCGTCTAGTCGTACATACTTTAGTTCCATAACAACCAGATGAAGTTTGAATAACCTCTTAGAGGTAAGTTTTTTTTGAACTAAATCCGTGTAACTACAAACCAGCGTGTCAAACATCGTAAGCACTTAGTTATTCTTTTAGATTCAATCGTTAATGAATTAAGTCAACCTAGGTTGATCGTTTCAACCAACTAATACTTCAACAGTTATGTAAACCAAAAATATTTTCTAAAAAGAAGAATATGTTTGTAAAATCTCAGCGAATGAATTTTAAGTAAATCCAACGTTTCGCCTGGCAATCTGGTACAAGCTTTTTCAAGGAAAATAATGTCTCAAATTAACTCGGCGCCCAAATATTGTGAAACTATTCGTTCAAATTTAGACGAAAGTTCTTACAAAAATATTCTCTTTTTGGTAAATTATTTGTTAGATTCACAGTTATAAGTTATTATTTACAAAAATACTAGAACAAAGAGCTACGTACAGCTTTCAATTTGTACCTGGGCATTATACAATAATAATTTATTTCTCATAAACCTTACTGATTTGTCTACTCAGATAGCAATAATTTACATACGATCAAATGATGCTCAAGTATCTACAATGAATACATGTTTCCAAACTGTTATATATGTGATTAAATCATTATTACTCAACTACGATTAAGCCTGACATCATTTGTTCAATATTCAAGGAACATACTCCATGCTTCAGTTCCCTTTAAATGAACCGGTTTGGTCGTAATAAATATTCTTATGAACATATGTGTGAAAAATCAAAGAATACTAACCCTCTCACCATCATTATGCGCATCTAGTAATACGAATGTTGTTGTAAAAACTAGATACCATGTTTAACAAACAAACGCTTAAGAATTTAAGACTGAGATAATCTTCATTTTTATTAGCAATGAATGAACGAAGTATATTCTTTTATATTAGTTACCTCTAGAATTAGTAACGAACAAAAAATCGAGTTTTAATATGACTTGTTTAAATAACTGGCTAACAGAAAACTTTGATTTGATCTGAATATTTACAAAATTAGTAGGTCATGACATTTTACAATTGTTATAACGGTTGGTTTCCCGCGTTTACATGTGTAGGACGTTAGTTTACCTTAGATGAATATCTACACTAGATTCCCTCCTAGTGTCTATTCTACAGGACTTCAACACAACTCAGATCAAGAACACGTGATTAGCCTGACTAGAACGTAAATATGTTTCCACACCGAAACCTGACGCAATCCAGCAATAATGAACAATCAATCATAATAATTATAAGGATAGGGGAATATATAACTCATCTGACACCTGTCAGACAATCTACATGTCTGACTAAGCAGACAAACAATCCATATCATTCTCGCCCACACATCAACAATGTTACTTGGAAGTTCACTCATTATGTTATTCATTTTCAATGTGAATTCTTCCTTTTACTCTCAATCTGTTTACTGTTGTTGTAATTTATCTGAAGTTTCGTATCTTGCATTCGTAAATATAATTTTGCCAATATTGTTATAGTATTCCTATTTAAACTTTCTTGGAAAATGTATTATGAAACAGCAAATTCTTACAAGCCATCTTTCGATTCTATTTTATTTAGTTAAGCTCAACAGCTTCTCAATTACATCCTATTCAGCAACATTCATATATCTTTTAATTTCAACTATTCTGTTTGTATTAAGGCACTATTCGCTGAACAAAACGAATATTTTGATATTACAAACTTCTCATTTGTCCAGAAAACACAATGAAAGAGATCAATAAGTTTTACAAAGGATTCAGAACCAAATTATACAAATGGAGTGATTGAGCTAAACTTCAATAAAAATCTGCGCAAATTTAAATATTTGTTTATAAACAGATGTTTTGATGACATACGAATACATTTGATAAAAGTATGAAAATGATTAATATTGCTCATTATACTTACGTAGTTTTCTAAGAAACGACTGCTTTATAGTAGTTCGTTAAGTAGCAGCAAAGATGTTGGTATTATTGCTCAACACCCACTATGTCATATCCGAGCGAAGATTAAATCACGAGACATATTAATTGACTAATATTATCTATATATTCTTATGGTATAATTATTCAATAATTAGATTATATATGTTTATATACCTCTTAATGTAAGCTTTTTTTGACATATAATTTATTATTGTACGATTTACTGTTCTTATGCTATGTTCAGTTTATTGACTACCGCCTCTCACGTTCACAGCCACTTTTTGGCTTTATTGTGTATGAATGTTATTTCCTATTTTATGGTGCGTTGCGGTCTATTTGATTGATATATAAACCCAGTATGTCTGAAATAAACGATTCGATTCGCATAGTGGAAGCTGGTATTGGTGTTCTGGACTCAAGTGGACGGGCTAGGCGGACATAGGACTTATAAGTACGCTAGGCTGCCCATACTGGTCGAACGTCATTAATTTGGCATGGTACTAAGATTGTATAAGTCGTATTTTGATTGGTGGATAAATCACGTGATAAAAAACCGGACATAAACTCACAACACACTAGACAAAATTTAACAAAAGAACTTATTGGTCATTGAAACCTAGGACTGATAAGTTGATTATTATGAGCGCCAAAAGTGTGTTACTCACGTTAATGCTAGTTGAAAACCTTTAATACATGTTACGATTAGCAATATACTGCCTTACATAGTTTCGAATGAAATGGCTTTTATTGTAAATTGATCACTTCAACTATTTTAAAATAACTCATTTATTGACAAACAATTCGGTTATAACCTTACTTTTAAAGATGTTTGGGACTATTTAGTGGTATATGTTCTTATCAAACAGTTAGAGTTTTAAATCACCACGGGCGATGATTAAGTTTAGTAATGAAATACAGTTACAGAATCCTTCTACCACTTAACGTCTAAAACTTTTCACAGTGACATCGAATCAGTTACCTTAGTATTCATATCTCAACTTGATAGATCAACAACAAGGTAAAGTCAGCGGGATAATAGGTAGCAAATATTGATTAATTTGTGTTTAGATTTGTAGATCGAAAATTTGTGATTGTTTTGGAACTGCTAAAGTGAAATCGATCATTTGATAAAAACAACTTTACTATAATTCTGAGACAAAAACAAAAACGATAAACCCTTTGAAGAAAATCTTTTTCCCCCAAAAAGTAGTAATATATTATAGCAGTGGATTGTGTATGACATTATCAATGTACCCATAAATTATATTTAATTTAATTAATGATTAATCATTAAGTATTGAACTAGATATCAAGAGGTCATTTTTCTCTAATGAGAACAACTTATCTCTAGTCAGATTACGTGGCGTTCTAAAATGTGCGTATATCATAAACGGGAACAAAAGTATGAAGTTCAAAAGAACTACGGTGATCAAAATTAATTTAGCCCTGGAAGATGATCGCACAATATAAAATAGTGTTATGTCATACAGACGTTATGTTTTCGTTTTCCTTGAGTTTTTACTGTAGCAGTACATGGATATGGTGCACAAACGTTTCTAACCTATTTCAATATCACAGGTTGCCAAACAAAGTATTCATCAGTAACCAACTATGTAAAATGCGCGGAACGAATCCAGGATATCCAATATTCTACAGAAGAACACTATGTTTTGAGATAATTGAATTGGAGTTCATTTGTCTGGCCTATAAGCCATAAGGTAATTAGTTATATACCATGATTCTTACTGAACAAAACATGTGCAACAGTGACTTACATAGTTGATTAGTCAGTAAGTGAGCCAATAACTGACTAATGTTTTGTATATATTTATATTATTTGTAAAACCACCTTGTTTGCCAAAAAGGAAGAAGTAATTCTTCTTGTTCTGTTAGAATCCTGTTAAAAAGCAATACTTTTATCAGATGGCATTCATCAGAAGTATAGTCACTAGATACGACTATCTATTATTTTTAATGGTCCTGACTGTTATTTGTTCGACGTTGGCTAAACTTAAATAAAAAAATATTTCTCATAAATAAGCTAAAACCTAACACAACAGAAAAATGAATGTAATAGTACACAATCAAATAAACGGTTTTCAAAAACAATGATCATATGTTTATTTCAAGAAAATGATCCATTAAAATCTCACTTTCAATTAAACTTCACATAAAAAAATCACTTATTACAGTTTAAGCATCTAAAAAAGTCAACTGTTGGAATCGTTTTATAGAGTCATTTTGATGTATTGCGCTTATTCACTGAAGTTTACACTAGTTAGATTTATATAAGAAGTCAAACGTAGATGCTGTTAAATGAAGTTATAATGTTGGTCATTTACTTATGCCAATAAAATGGTTGATATCATTATAGGGCTGTGGAGATTATCAAGTTTTTGATTGGGATCATGAACTGATTGATTTTAGACCACCATTGAAGACCTGAAAGCATTAAACGGTCGTTTCGTCCTATTGTGGTACTCCTCAGCAGGGATTTGAGCCTAGGAACCTCTAGACCACTGAGCTGGCATCCAATGGTGTTAATATCTTACCTCAACCAATCCGCAAAATTGCGGGACCATCTTCCATTGTAATGAGGTAGATACCTGTTTCTACCCGACACAGATTCGCTCCACTGGCCACGGCTTTTACTTAGAATCCCGAGAATTGCCTCAAGAAGCCAGTCAACAGTGAGCGCACGATAATTATCAGTATGGGGTTATGGAAATTATTAAATATTTTTATTAGGATCATGAACCGAGGTTAAGCGTTCACATGCGAGACCTAAGACCGTGAGTTCGAATCCTGCGGGCGAGATCGTGGATGCACACTGCTGGGGAGTCCCACAATAGGGTGAAACGACCGTACAATGCTTTCACGTCTTCAATGGTGGTCTAAAATCAGTCATTTCATGATCTCAATCAAAAACTTGATAATCTCCACAGCCCTATAATGATATCAACCATTTTATTGGCATAAGTAAATGACCAACATTATAACCAATTGATTGTGAATAAGAATGTTGAATTGAATTGTTAAATAACCCACTGAAAAACAGTAATAACTTTGCAACAAAACTGAAAATTGTTTATTATTATAAAATGAAACTTTTAATAATTCCATTCAATTTTCAATCTATAATTCGTAGTTAGTGATTAATGATTAAATTAAATTATTTATGTATAGTTAAGTGTACAATGAAGAAAAAAAGTATATAAAGTGAACAACAAACATAATTATCATCAAATGAACTATCAGCTTCATCTAAATAACTTTGTTTCTACCGTAAATTTAAATAACAACAATTAAAATACAAAAGTCTAATTAACGGAATAATTTTCATAATTGTTAATTCTACCAACAAAAAAAATTAAAGGAAATATGTTTAATGCACGCAAAACAGTTTGATGTATTTCGCGGAAAAAATGTTTTGAATATAGAAATTCAATCTGACTGTTGGTAAAGTTTTCAAAAATCAATTCAACTATCACTAATAGACATATTTTAAAAGAATCATTCACTTTTTCAAATCAGCGGTTTATATGAATCTACATACTGACTGTGGTTATATATATATATTATTAAATAATGACATGTGGAAGTTACATAAGTTTAATAAAAATGAAAATACAAACTTATTATATTAAAGTTGCCTAAAGTTTTATGCGAAAAATATTTCACAACCCTATACTGCTAGTTACCATGTGATCACTAATGATTAGCTTCGTGAGGAAATTCTCGAAATTCTAGGGAAAAGCCGTGACCATTGGAGCGAATCCGTGTCGGATAGAAACAGATATATCCAAATTACGTGTATTAAAGGTAAGATAAAAACTCATAACTTCAACTATTCTTAGTTAAGTGTCGGTGTTCAGACTTGGATCTTGGAGGTCGAACACAATAGCTATACTAAACTAAATTTTATAAGAACAAACTAAAATATCGGCTGTGCAAAGAGGAGAAAATAAAGTGATCACTTGTCCATGTGACGATGTGTTACCAAACAAGTTGATTAAAGTGTTAAAATGGTGAGAGAAATTTGTTGTTTTTTTTAAGAAATTTTTCAGTGTTGCTTTGCTTATCTAAGCTAGAAAATCTGCTAGTGAAAAATTTACTTTTACAGTCATTAACGTTCTATACTGACAGGAAAATCCGTTAGTTATTTGTAAAGAAACTCTAAAATCTCATTTATATATGACATTTTTGTTAGAATTGTTTTCTAACAGAACAATAAACAAGCTTTACAAGCAAAGATGGATGTTGTTGATGTTCACTCCGAGACTCGACTCTGAGATGCAGATACATCCAGCAGACGAGTTTCAAGGAAGACGAAAAGCGCATCCTGGATTCCACTGCTAACCACTATTCATCTTTGCTCATAAAGCTTGTGACTTAAGGCAATACTGAAGCAATCCACACGGAATGCACATATGTAAGCAAGAGACTGATCAATCGCAGTCCTAAACAACAATGAGAAGATACAAGTAAACAATATTAAGTGAATTTGGAACAATAAACAATTTCATGAATAAATTATTCAGTTTCGAGAAATTAACATTGCCGAAATCATGTGCTCATTCAATCCAAGTATTACCAATATTCACAGCAGAATTTACCCCATAGTTACTTTTATTATATTACATTATATTACTAAACTATCATTTAAAAATGAAGTAGATATTTACTTCAGTAAAGTTTAAAAGCATAATTCACTTTGTTTTAAAACCATAAAAATATGTTATTTAACTAGAATTTTCAGTTAATCAAATAAACGAATTCAAGGGAAATTATCTTCTATGTTAGAAATCCATATTATATTTTTGATATTATCATAGTATACTTTACTTTAAATAGAGGGTTTGATTAGGAA